CTGCTCTGCCACCGGATCTGAGTGCCTAGGTTCTTACAGAGAGGTCTGGCGGCTGTGAAGGGGTCGACCGAGCACCACGGTCCATGTCCCCTCGCAGCCCGGTGCTCGCCCGCCGCCCGCGGAGCAGGGTGCGCGGGGGCGGGCGCCGCGCTGCTGCTGTGACTCCCAGCAGAGGCCTGACCTTCCCCGTAGTTCCTGCGGCGAAAAGAGCCGGACCAGCGGTGAGCGAGCTGCGTCCCCCGAGGGGAACAGCCAGCGAAGCGACCCGGGGAAAGGCAGGCACCTCTGCCCCAAGTATCCCCTCATCTGTGCACTGCACGGAGGTGAAGTTTTCTAAAACTCCGAAACAAGCTTTTTCCTTATTTTTTTCCCTTCCAGGAAAGAAAAAAAATTAGACTGTAAAAGCGCCTTTAATTCGGAACTACTCTGGGGCTGACTGCAGTTGTTGGATGGGAGCATCCAACACGACGTAACGGAGAGGTAACCCGATGGAATCACACGCACAGTTTAAGCAAAAGTCCCCACGTCTATGTTTGACATACATTATGCATGTAGAAAAAGCCACCCCGGGTCTGAAACATCCACGGACTCTGCTGATTTTGCTTTAGGAGCTCTGTTTTATTACACTCTCTATGACTTCCACAGCGCGCACGTCCCTGCGAGCTTGAATATTTGGGAACACACATCAGCCAGGGAAGGAATTCGGCGAGGTTATGCGTGTCAAAGCGGGATACTTATGTTTCTATTCCAAGATGCCACTGCAAGCAATTATGTACTTCAAGTCCTCGAAAAAAATGAATGGTTTAAAATGAAATACGTATTAATTAGTATCCTAAATGACACTTTAATGTGCTAATATTGCATCGCTATACTTCAGAAGCTTGGAGAATTATTTGAGAGTTGATCCATCTCTTTCACTGCAAACTCCTTCTGCCTCATGCGGGTCACCGGGAGACAGATGTCTCGGGTGGATGGAGGGGCTGGTGGGGGCGTGCAGGGTGAATCCTCCCCGAAAAACCCTCTGCTCTTTGCAAGCTCGAATTTCCCCAAAACGACGGGCGAAAGTGAACACGCAAAAAAACCCCAAACCGATCCGACCATTGAGCAGAGGGAGGAGAGGGAGCTGACTCCCAGCAGAGTTAACTTTCCTCCAGGCTCGACCCAAGCGGCTGGGTCCGCAGCTGCCAGTTGAGGCGGCACCGGCCGCCCCGTGGCGTTTGCGGTTTCCCGGGGACTCCCCCCGGCAGGGCCAGGCAGGGGCTTCCCGCTGCGGGAGGCCAGCACGGGAACTCAGCACATGGCACCGTCTGTTGCATAAAAAGTCCTCGATCCTATAGAAAATAGAGACGACCCTCCCTGCTGCCTGGCAAAACGCTTCGTGAAATGAAAAGCAAACGTGCCTTGGCGGGACCGCAGGATCAGGACCTTTAAGAGCACGTTAAAAAGGAATAATTAACAAAATTGAATGTCTGAATGAGAAACTAAAACTAGTTCAGTAGTAACAAAAAGTGCCGAAGAGAACTAGTGGTACGTAACAGTGTGGTTTTCTATTTTTCCTTAGAAACAAAGCTTTTGAAGAATTATTTTAGTTCGGGTTTTTTTTGTTTGTTTGTTGTTGTTGCTTTTTTTTTCCCCCCTACCGACAGCTGTGCGCTCAGCCCATAGGAATGGTTTGTTTGTTGTTGTTGCTTTTTTTTTTCCCCCTACCGACAGTTGTGCGCTCAGCCCATAGGAAAGTTAAGGAAAGTTTGTAACTACAGCCCCCTCCTCGGGCGTGATCCCTCCCGCCGGGAAGCCCCTCTGCCACCTCGGGCCGCTCCGGCCCCGGCCGCTGCCGGGGGCTCCGGTGTCGGACCGGCCGGCACCCGGGCAGGGCGGCAGCTCCGCGCCTTCCTGCCGGTTGCAGAAACACAGACCGACTCCGCTGCACAGGAGCGGCACTGATGGGGAACGCTAATCGGGGGGTCGGGGTTGGGGGAGAGCTAGGAGAGCAAAGCCGGTGAGGTAAGGCAGCTCCGCGCCGCTGCGCACCCCCGCGCACCCCCGGAGTCCACCCGTGTCCCCTCCGCCCCACTCGGGGCAGGTAACGTCCCGCCCAGGTGGAGAGCGGGGGTTTATGTTGTGGACGGTGCGTTTCTGTTTCGGGATGCATCGCCTTCCACCAAGAAAAATAAGCACCAGGTGCAAGAGCTTCCCCCGCACGCTCTTCCCACGCAAACGCAACCTTGGCCCCGCCGGTGGAGGCTCGGGCACCTTTTCGCTCGCGAACGAGACGACGAGCGGTTTCCCGTGGGATGTTCGGAGCACGGACACCTGCAGCCCCTGGCTGGCCTGCAGCTCTGCCTGGCGTTTAGTTTATTTTTTTGAGCCTGGCGAGTTTTCATCCAGGGAGAACCCTCGTGGCAGACACGGGCTTTTACGGAGGAGATACGGTCAGAAACCCGCAGTTTCGGGGGCTCCCCGGACAGCTGCTGCCGGGCAAAGCCCGTTTATCTGCCAGTGCAGCACCCGGCTGCTGGAAACGGACAAGCAGCTCCCCGGCGTGCGGTCCCGCCGACACCCCGAGCGTTTCCGAGGCCACGGGAGCCCCCACGGGACGGTCCCGCTCGGGACGAAGCCGGCAGGTCAACCCGCCAGGCGGGCAGGGAAGGCAGGCACGTTTAAAAACGCCTCTCGCCCGTGTCGCACCACGCACGACTGCGAGAAGTTGCCATACGTGGCGTGTAGCGAGCCACGATTTTGAACGAGGTGTGAAAGCAAGCGCAGGGGCTGGATGCAGCGCGGGGAAGCTGTTCGGGCGGCTAACGGTTACAGCCCGGTTACAGTTTCTAGACGTGCGGCTGGTCTGTTGCGGGTATTTAAAACGCTGGGCTTAAAATAAGCGCTGTGCCAGCGGGTATCGCACTGGGGAGGATTTGAGGTGCGTGTGCGTGGACGCGTGTGCACGCGCACGTGCGTGTGCGCGCGTGCGTGCAGGTGTGTGCGTGCACACTGTGCGCCCTTCCAAAAAAAACCCTGAAGCCCTTATGGGCTTTATATACATATATATATATATATGAAGCGGCCTTAAGGCTCCCTGTGGCTTTTTCCCGGGGTCGGCCCGCGCAGGTGTCC